ATCTAATTCTTACTTCGGTGCCTTCTTTCTTCTCATATATTTGTACCCTCCCTCCTCTTGGCTCATCAGATCACTGTACTGTTTCATGTTCTATTAGGTTTTCAAACTCCTAACCACCATCCACTTCGAGATATACATTCTGGGGCTACAACTCAACCGACTGGGACGGTTTCCGTGATTTTCTGACTGTTTATCCCTGGAACGATTGCTGTTTCTCTTCGGATGTTTCCAAGTCCATTTCCAACTTCACCCACGTTGTTCTTCAAGGTATGCATCTTTTTATTCCACACTTTTCTAAACCCGGCAAACCCAAATCCCCTGAGTGGTCTAACCATGCATGTGACCGTGCTGTACGCCTTAAACGTTTAGCTTTCTGTCGCTGGTGCGGCCTGCCCACTCCCCTCTCTCACCATCGCTTCGCGCAAGCTAGGAACAGATGCTCGACAACCATAAAGAGAACCAAAGAACTCTTCATTTGCCATAAAGCCGAAAACTTGGTCTCATCCGCCATCAAGGTAGCCGAACATTTTGGTCCTTTACCAAAGCAGTTTCCCGTAATTTCTGCCTTTCCAACTCCCCCCCCCCTCTATCTGCAATTCCTCTGGTGATTTTGTGTGTCAACCGAACGAGAAAGCTGAGGTTTTTGCTTCTGTTTGCCGCCAATTCCACTTTACCCCATTTTCTACACCTCCACCTTCTTCCTCCTTCACAGCACTAGGAAGAGCCGTCAATTCTCTGTGAACGCTGGTGTTCCCCAAGGTTCAGTACTCGCGCCCACCCTCTTCTATGTATCAATGATCTCCTTTCCCAAACTGCCAACCCGATCCATTTTTTGCTGATGACACCACCCTCCACTGCTCCCTCTCCTACCGCACTGCTAGCCATGCCAAAACCAACATCGATGGTAACCGTAGTGCAGTTAATGCGTCACTGGATTCCGATCTCGAATACATCTCCTCGTGAGACATTGTAAACCATTTTTCATTCAATAGTTCTAAAACCTCTCTTCTTTCAATTTCTTTAAAACACCATTCATTCTCCCCCCATTTATCTTTTAATTCCACCCGACTGCGTTCCACAGACTCTGTTTCCCTTCTTGGATTGCCTACAACTTCTTTATGCTGGTCCTCTTTTACAGCTAGGCTTGCTTCTCGTGCTGCGCGTAAGGTTGGATTTCTATTTCGCGCCAGAAGTTTTTTCACCCCAGCTGCTCATCTTCTGTTGTACAAAGCTCAAATCCACCCTGCTCTTGAATACTATAGTCACGTGTGGGGTGGGGCTTCGTCCTCTGCCCTTTCTCTTCTTGACCGTGTCCAACGAAAGGCCATCCGGCTAATCGATGATCTTTCTCTAACTTCCAGTCTACAGTCGCTAGCCCATCGTCAGGTAGTTGCTTCATTGTCCCTGTTCTACCGCTACTACTGTGGTTTTTGTTCTTCGGAACTTGCCTCGACAGTTCCTCTTCCTGTAACTTTTACTCGCCCATCCCGTGCGCAGGCATCCAGTCATTCTTATCAGGTTTCTGTTCCCGGATGTCGTACCTCTTTGCTCCAATCTTCTTTTCCTCTGAACTGCCAAACTGTGGAACACCTTCCCACTTGCTGTTTTCCCCTCAACTTATGATCTTACACTTTTTAAACGCAGAATCAATAAACTGGATCTTACGTGAGTGTTACCCTACTCTACCCTTTATCGTATGGTATTTGCCCATGGGAATTTCCCCATTAACTGTAATTCACATTTTGTAATATAAAAAAACGTCTGATAGCTCTTTAAAGCACAACTTTGTGTGTAAGTTTATTTGATTAACCCGAAATCTTTGAGCGATTAGAGAATCAAGTGTTATCATTTCTGGATCCGATCGCTGGTGGATCGATAAATCGCATTACATACATTAAATTGCAGCTACCTATGGAAGCAGGCCTGAGTGAGCGAACAATAAACAGAATCTTCGGTCCACAAAGTGATAAATGAACGCTCTTGTGAGGGCTGAGGAAATCATGTCCGAGGAGAACATCTAAACGTATATCATTCAGTATAGATAGTTTTAAACGTTCGTAAACATGG